AGCTCAGAGGGAATGAGTCTGAGTAGTGAGTCTGTGTGTGGGTTCTTTAAGAGAAACTGTTTGGGGCTCTAGCAGTTTCTTCCACCAACTCAATCCCCGCTGGCTTTTGCAGCCAGAAGTTGTAGGGACTTATCTTCCTGGCACCAGAATCCCAGGCTGGGGGCCTGGTGTGGGACTGAGACTTCTTGCTCCTGAGGTATCCCTCCTGAATTTTTACCTGCCACACCTGGGTGTGGCACCAGCCCGTTCTGTGTCTGTGCCTCTCCTACCAGTCTGGATGGACGTGGTTTCTTTAATTCTGTAGGTATCAGACTTCCATTTGACTTGATTTCTGACTGATTTGAGTGATGGTTTTCTCTATTTTAGTTGTAATTTTGATGTGGTTGTGCGAAGAGGCAAGCCATACCTGCCTATGCCGCCATCTTCTGGTATGTGTTCTTTGTAATTTACATATAATCCTTTTATCCATTTTGAGTTTATTTTTGTCTGCGGTGTGAGTTAATAATCTAGTTTCATTTCTTTTGCTTATACCTGTCTAATTTTCCTAGAACCATTTATTGAAAAGACTTCTTTATTCCACTGTATGCAACTGCTTCCTTTGTCAAATACTAAGTGACATCTAGGAATGGGTTTATTTCTGGGCTCTCTGTTCTGTTCCATTGATCCATAAGCCTGTTTTTATGCCAGTGCCATGCTGTTTTGATTACAGTGACCTTGTACTATAATTTGATAGCAGGTATTTTGATCCCTCAACTTTTTTTTGTTCTTTCTCAGTATTGCTGAGGCTATTCAGGATCTTTTTGGTTCCATATATATTTTTGGAATATTTTTTCTAGATCTGTGAAATATGCCATTGGTATTTTAACAGGAACTGCACTGAATCTGTTGATTGCTTTGGGTAGTATCTTCCAATTCATGAACATAGTACATGGTTCCACTTATTTGTATCTTCCTCAATTTATTTTCTTAATGTCCTACAGTTTTCAAGTTTATCTTATATTGTTGATATCAACTTCTTCTGTTGTATGTTTTAATCTTTCTTATTTGCATCTTTATGATTCTGGTTTTGGTATTTACTAGCTGTGTAATTTGGGGACATTGCCTGATTTCCATAGAACCATTTTTTTCCATTGAAAAGTATGGACATGCTGCTTCTTAGTTATTTTGTTACTGTGAAATGCCAATGAAAGATTGTATGAGCTCTGTGATTTTTGGGTTCTTCCCGCCACTTTTTAATTTCCTTCAGCCATTTTCTCAAATATAAAGTGAGAACACACTACTTTTTAGGCTTATTGTGAAAGACCAATGGAGAAGCATATGAAAGCACTGTGGAAAGTAAAGACTATCTTTACACGTAGGGCCTTTTTGTTTTTCTCTTGTCTTTATTATGAGTCATCCCTAGGAGTTGGCTTTTGTGAAGCACCCAGCATCTCCACAGATTGATCAGACTCTGAGGGGTGGAGTGGGTGTCACAAAATAGCACTTCTCTCTTTTTTATTCTACACGCTCTTAGTGGGGGAAAGAGGTGCACAAACAAGGCATGCTTACATTGAACCCCGTATTCTTGGAATGCGTTGTGTGGGATGGAGGCAGAGAAGAGCAGTATCAGGAGAATCTCATTTCTTTACCTCTCACAGTGCTTGCCCCAAGGACTGACATAGTAGAATCCTCCCATTTATGGAACCAAATGTCTGCAAGTTTAGAAATAACTTGCCTTTTGTTACTATTCTGGTCTACGTCTCGATTAGAATGCAGGTTTCAGAGGCAGCTGTTCTATTCCACCGTAGTAGGGAAGTGTGAGAGTACAGTCTCCTGTTCCCGTTCCCTTTTGACTGATGACAGTCCTCTGCAAACAAATAATTAACTAAAGCATGTTACCACCGAACAGTTTAGGGATGATCATGCTCCAGTACCACCTTAGACCTAGACAGCCCTGTGCCGCTGCCCTACACCCCATGCTTTACCGGGCTCTCCTTTGGCCATACCTGTCTCCTGGACCACTCTCCAGGTACTGAGGACCCAAGAATTACCAGACAAAATGTCCTGAACCTACTTCCGGGACCTGCAGAGTCCCTTTCTGAGTTCATCCTCCCAAAGACGGATCAAGCCATTAGACCCCGCTTTCCTAGGTCAGGGTGGCTAAGGACAACTACTTGAGAGGGATATTACCAGAACTTTACTAGCTTGAATGTCTGTGTGTAAGGCTTCATGAGGTACAGGAGGACTGGGGTGTGGGAGGAGAAAGAAAAGGTGTACTGGGGGCCCAGGGCCCTCCCTTTGTACTGCAGCCCAGTCCTGCAGCTGTCAGGGGCAGGTCTGCCCAGAGGAACCTCTCCCTTCTGACCAACTACTTATTTTATGGTTTCTTAAAAAAAAAGTCATAGAGAAAGGGTTTTTTCACCACCCATTTGCAGACTGAGTATAGCTGCCTCAGTGTAGACCCCAGTTGATCTTTGAGAAGAATTCTCAAAGAGGGTGGGGTGGGGGGGTGGAGTGGTGACTTTCCTGAAGGGCGAGTCTCTGTGCCTCCCCTCTGTCTCTCCCCTGGATAGGCAGTGCTGCCCGATGCTTTGTTAAAAGAAGAAAGGATTCTGCTGACACACTGCATTTTTATGAAAGAAGGCTGAGGGTTCCCTTATCTCTCCACACAAGGCACATCTGCCTGCACACAGGCTGTCTGCTTCTTAGGGATTCCTTTGTCGTTCTCTTTCCTTTCTGAGTGTTTTAAGGCAGTTTCATGCATTCCTTTCTGTTCTCTAGAGCCAGGGGGAAAGTCATAATATATCGGGGCTCTTGCTGAAGAGCTTAAAATGGGCGCTGGCAGCTGGGATGTGGGGGAAGAGAGCTTTCCAGGGACAAGTGACCTGCGGGTTTAGCCAGTGAGAAGCAGGCCAGAAGAGTGATATCACCAGACAGGCTTTATTGTCTGATCATCTCATAAGAGCAGAACTGTGTCTGTCAACTTAACCCTTTTTTAGGTACATTGGGTCTCACCCACACTCTGGTATGTGACCTCTAGATTTAAATTGGTGAAGAAATGTGGAGAGTTGTAAGTCACTATTTTTAAAATACAAATTATTAAAATTGAGAAACATAGCTAAAGTGGGAATGTCAATCAAGCTGTGTTTGGGTCTCAGTCTTAGTCCTGCTACATCAGACATTTTCTGTATAGGCTTGGGAGAAAAAGGAGATTAAAGGGTAAAAAACGATTTAGCCTTTAGTCTATTTTAATCTGTATGACAGGATCTTACCGAGTACGTATTTCCTGTTTTGGAGGAATTGGAATTGATTCTTCAGGTTTGGGAAAGGTCACTGATTCCGTAGGCAATTTCAAGTAACAAGATATTTGTAGTGTTTGTTTATATGGTGCTTCTTTTTTGCCCCCTCCCCCCTAAAAATGGTAACTATTTTACTTCTTCATGCTTCCTTTTTGTCACTGGTAAAAAGAGGGTGATGATTCTACCCTACCCCATAGAGGAGTTGAGATTAGAAAATAAAACTAATTCATGTGGTTTTAGATTGTGCTACACACGTTTTATTATTGGGACATTCATGTCTTAAGATTGTATGTTCATTCGTTCATTTGTTCAACAGACTTTTTAAAAAACCCTCTTGATGCTGGGCACAGATACGGAGATGATAGATGTAGTTCGTACCTTTAAGGAACTTGAAACATTGTGAGGAAGATAGGCAATAATAAAAAAGTCTCATACATCTATTGTGTTTACCATGTGCAAGGCCCTGTTCTAAGGATATATTATCTTATTTGATGTATATTAGCTCATTTAATATTACTACAACCTTATGAAGTAGATATTGTATTTAGCTACATATTATAGACAAAGAAATCAAGGCACAGAGAGGCTAAGTGACTTGCCTAAGGTCACACAGGTAGTGGTAGAATTGGAACTTGAATCCAGACCTTGTCGTTCTGGAGTCTGTGTTCTAAATCTCTGCTGATCAATATAGTAGTCAGTAGCCATACATGGCTTTGGAGCACTCAAAATATGCCTAGCCAAATTGAACTGGGCTGTAAGTGTAAATTTCAAAGACCTAGAATGAAAAAAATACACAGAATACCTCATGTTGAAATTGCATGTTGCAGTGATAATATTTTGGATATACTGTGTTAAATTGAATACATGAAACCTAATTTCACTTTATTTTTGTGGCTACTAGAAAACTTAGAATTACATATATGGCTTGCACTTGTGGCTTACATTGCATTTTTTGTTTTATGTTTTTTACATTGCATTTTTATTGGACTCTGCTCCTCTAAGTCGTTACAATGCAATAACATCAGTAAGCTAGTGGGTGACATTTACTGAGCACTACTTTGTGCCACATACTGTGCTAACACCTTTACAGACACTACTTTACTTAAGCCTCCAAATAACTGTTTATTATCTCCATTTTATGGAAGGAAGGGAAAGTTTTGAGAAAGTCAACAGTTTGCCTGAGGCCAGTCAACTAGTAAACGACAGACCCCAAATTTGAAACCATTTATGTCTGACTTAAAAACCTGTTCTCAACCAGCACACAGTGGTACCATTTCCAGTTATATCTCAGGGCATTTTTTTGGTGTTTACTTTGTGAAGAATATTTAATATTGCATTCTTCTGTATTGGGTGTGTAGAAGGTCAAAATAGAAGTCATTGGATCATAAAACAGGCACCCCAGAAGGAAATCTCTTCTGCAGGGCCTCGGCCCTCGGCAAACACTGGCGCAATTGGGCACTGACATGAAGCAGCCAGCCAGCCAGTACAAATTGTCTTTAATTTTCATCCCAATAGTTCTCTCAGGTCACTAGGCAATTTATGTCTCGGCCCTCTTTATCCATAGAGAAGATGAAGGGCAATGCAGCTCTCCCTGGTCGTTTAGTTTTCTTGGCTGAGAAAAAGAAAAAATTGCTTTCTGTTTCATTGTCCCATGAAACGCTGTTTGTGATCGAGAGAGCAACAAAATGCTGTCTAATGACTCCTGACTTTTCTTTTCTCTAGAGCAAAGATTCAGGCGGATTAAAGGCTGCGATGATAGAGTTGGTGGAAAGATTGAAGTTCAAGAGCTCAGACCCTAAAGTAAGTATTGTTTTGGAATTTATTGGATACTGGTATCCCCAAGTACAGGTATCCCCCACTTTCTGAAAGTTCACTTTATGCCACTTTGCTTTTATGAAAGACCTACATTAGTACCTGTTTTTTTAAGATTTTATTTATTTATTTTTAGAGAGAAGGGAAGAGAAGGGGAAAGAGGGGGAGAAAAGCATCTATTTGTGGTTGCCTCTCACATGCCCCCCACTGGGGACCTGGCCCACAACCCTGGCTTGTGCCCAGACTGGAAATTGAACAGGTGAAACTTTGCTTCACAGGCTCATGCTCAATCCACTAAGTCACACCAGCCAGCCAGGGCTAGTACCTGTTTTCACTAGCTGAAAGAAATCCAAAGAGAATTTTCACTTTTATGAAGAAAAGTGAAAAGAGCCTTCAGCCGTTGTTTTGCAATGAGCTGTTACAGAGGCAGCACAAGCCCAAGCAGCAAGTGGCCCTGCCAAGCTCCTTCCTCAAGAACTACACTCAGCATCTCAGCATCAAGCTGCTATAGCTTTGAACTGTGTCTGTGAGCATCTGTGTCTTATCTCCATTTATTTTGTGCATCCGTTAGCAAGATGTGTCATAAGGCATCAGAAAAGCCTGAGAGAGCTCCAAAGGGTGTTACACTGAGCGTAAAACTGGCAATTAAGCATCTTTGGTATGATTTGGTAGGTAATTTTGGGGTATGGGAACACTCAAAAATTTTTCCATATAAATTAATGGTAATTGCTTCTTCACTTTATGCCATTTCAGCTTACAAAAGGTTTCATAGGGACAGGAAAACCTGTATTTCATTCTCCTTGAGCTAAGTTTGAGGGATGTTAACAGTCATCTATCAGCATACTGCATCAAGATCTAATTAAGCCTGCTCATCAAAAGCAGTGTTCTGATATGGGTAGAGATAAATCATCTATTTTTCCCTTTCTGTATTTTATGACTTACAACATATAACCATTGTTTTCCCTGAACTGCAGACAGGTGCATTTTTAATCTTCCTTTACCAGGCCTTTGAGACTATTGTCCTCTGTGTCCATTAAATTCAGCCAAAGGCATCTGAGATACTGATCAGCTTAATGCTGGGAACTGGAACAGGATCCAGACCCATCCAGTTGGTGTTCAGCATTAGCATTTTGTCTGTCCCCAACTTACAGGAGCCAGCTGCCCCTGCTAATGCTTTTGTCCTCATGACCTGGAGTCTGGTCTGGGAAATGCTTTAAGCTTCTCAGCTTTCTTTGCAAGATGTTGGAGGCTGTAGGACTGATATTCTGGGAGATGCCACACCAGGATGGTGGTGGACTGGGAACTGACCATGCTGGAGGGCTTGTGACTAACACAGCGTCCCTTCTCCTACCCAGATACTTACTGTGGCACTACCTGGCAGTGGCGCCAGCTGGCTCTGCCTGAGAGTCAGAGCTCCTCACGAGTAAATTGGGAGAGGAGCATGATTGTTTGATTGTTGGTATCTCTTTTCTTCCCTTTCATTTAAAGTTCTTTATAGGTAGAGTAAGACAACCATTTCTTGAACACATACTAAGAGCCAGGCACTGTGCTAGGAGCCTAACATACTTGTAAAAATATTTGTGGTAAATATATGTAGTGTAGTTTACCTTTTTAACAATTTTTAAGTGTACACTTCATTGGCATTAAGTACATTCAAATTGTTTTCTAACCATGACTACCATTCGTCTCCAAACCTTTTTTATCTCAAACTGAAACTCTGTACCCCTTAAACACTAACTCCTTATTGCACCTCTTTCATACATGTGACTACTTTAGCAACTCCATAAAGTAGCTTATTATTCCCGTATTATTGATAAGGACACTGAGGCTCAGAGAGGTAGGGTTATTTGCCCCAAATCCAGTGTAATTTAGAGCTGGGATTCAAACTCTGACACCAGTGCCCGCGCTCTATCTTTTATATCATGTTGCAGAGCAAGCCCTGGGTTTTGTCTGTTTTCTGCCATGTAATCACATTGTGCCTCTTTTCTAATCTGAAGTGCTATCTGAGGCAGAGCCACGGAAAATGATGGGCTTTTCAAAAGTTGGCTGCAGCTACCAAACAAAACAATTTTCTCTTCATACAGCATTAAAAGTATTGGGGCATTAGTAGTTTTCTTGTCTTCAGGTATAGTTAGGGTTCTAGAGGTAGAGAGTATCTTGATAGATAAACAATTGGGGTAACTGTTATCACTTTCTTTAGCTCAGTGTAAAGAGATCCCTGGTATAAGAAGTTTTCCTTTAGTGAAGATGAATCAATTAATTATTAAAGATCTCTGAAAGCTTTTTTTTCTGGGTTTCTCTGGTTTCTGGGACAACAGCTATACTGAAAGAGACAACTGTATGTTTTGTTTCTGACAAACACAGGTAAAGCGCTTTGGGATCCTTTATGAATGCATGTAGTACTTCTGGTGGGAAACTTGCCAGAGGTGAAAGAATTGAGTGGTCCTGTGAGAGCAACCCATGGAAGCCTCAGGATTTTCCCATGATGCACCATAAGCTAAAGGATATTTGTTAGGGCCTGGCTTGATCTTGGATATGTGAATACACAGTCACCTCTCTTTTATCTTCTCTTTATCTTGCCCTGCATTATTTTCCACCAACCAATTTCATTTTCAGGCCTCTTTCTAGTCTCTCATATGCATATGCTGTGTGCACTTGGAGCCAGCTTGAAGAAGGACATTGTAATTATAGGACCTGCCAGATCACAAAGTGAGGGGTGGCAAAAAACAGGACACTTAAATACTTAATTTCTGCAACAAAGAAAATGTTCCCTTCAATAAACTGGTGTCTTCCAAGAAAGTTTTTAGTCTGTTCTGTTTTCCCTTGGAACCTCACCATCCCCCCACTTTTTTTTTAAGTTGGCCTATTTAAGAAAGGCAGAATCTCTCAGACTTTATGACTTGTCATTTCCTGGTACAGCAGCTTTACATAGACCCCTGATCGAGTCAGGGAGCACTGAGCACTATCTCTGCCTCACTTCCTCTACACTTCCCTGAAGCGTCACAGAGCTCGATTAGTCCAGGCGCTGCAGTCTCCTGGGGGCTGAGTTAATTTCTACCTGCGAATTTTTCCAGGGAGGAGTGGCAGATGCCTAGATTAACCATTTTTTAAATTTAAAAATAATATATGCTTATCGATTTAAAAAAACAGGTACCTATAAAGGAAAAGTAAAATGAATTTCCCCCAAGTTGACCACTTTAACAGTTTTTCCTGTAACCTAGACATTTCCATGTGGAAATACACTTCTAAGATTTTTTTACAAAAATTACACTATACCTATAGTTTTATTACACAGAATATCTTAGACATTCTTCTTTGTCAATAATATAGACTTAATTAGATGAGTCATTTTGTTGAAAATATCTACCACACACCCTCTTTTCTTTCAGACTAGTAGTTGTTAAACTTGCGTGCATGAAATCACGAGGAGGACTGATTAAAAGACAATATGAGGCCACCCCCTGCCCCAGGTTTATGGATTCAGTACACCTGGGGTGACTAGAGGCTGTACCAGACCTTGGCTATGTTCCTTCTGTCTTGTTTTGATTTTTTTTCATTCTTTTGAGCAAATAGCTGTAAGACCCCTCATGAGTAAGTCCAAGTGATTTCAACTTTGAAAAAAAATGTAATACATAAAAATCTAGGTTTAGAAAACAAACACGTTGAGCCAAGGTAGCAGAGGAGTAGGGGAAGGCAAAGAGAGGTGAACTGAGTAGTCAGCTCAGGCTGCCCGAGATGACAGGATTCCTGTGAACAGTCATGTCCAGTAGAGAAATGGCAAAGCCAAAAAGAGGGAAAGGAGTGCTGATCGGGATTTAAGAGGACGATCAAGGTCCATGCCATGGTCCAAGACTGGGCTGAGTTACAAAACCAGAGGAACAGGAGACATCCAATTCTAGACACAGGGGTGAACCTGAGGACAGGAGTCAGCCAGTGATGGCTGGTAAATAGGGCACAGGGCCAGAGGAAGTTGTGTGCATGCACGTTGCTACGGTGAGCCCTGTTTCAAAGGGAGCGTACGTCCAGAAATCTAGAACTTTGTAGACAGTGGAAAGAGATTGTTTTTAATAACAAGCAATGTCTATTTTGTTTAATTGGAAGTGGTCTTTTCAATGATAAGACATCCTAATGTATTTGACACGATCCAGCTTGCAAACATCTTTTTCAGTCCAACTTCCCAGAAACATTTATTGCACAAAGTAGGATTTTTGTCTATAGATTCCTTATATTTATGATACACTTTAGGGAAATTAAAAGCTGTAATTAATCTGTGTGTGTGTGTGTGTGTGTGTGTGTGTGTGTGTGTCTCTACTTGGATTTTTAAGAAATTTAAAGTGTTGAGTTTTTTACAGCTTGCCTTTGTAGTGACTAGGCAGTTATCTTTCACAGTTTACCCAGAGGAAACTGAAGCTTAGAAAATACATAGGTTCTGTTCCCTTCCCTCTCCCTGCCCAGTCTCTCAGAAAGCATTGAACTAAAAGCATAATATGCTAAGCTCATGTAAATAACCTCTTACTGTGATGTTAATAACAACCTGTTACACACTGGTGGTTTTTCATTTCATCTGAGATATGCTGTTTATCGTTTTCTATAGCTGGCATGCTTGAAACAAACAGAAACACAGTTGTGTGTCTCAGATTCACACTAATCTTATAGGAAGTTATCCTTTTTAAAAAGTACCTTGAGACTTGACCCAAGTGGTTCACATTATTTTGTCTGACTGGAGTGGTATTACACATGGAGTGTGGTCATACCAAGCCTGAAATATATCAGGGTCTTTCCTCATTTTCTTCAGTCTCTAAAGATCGTCATACTGAAGTGTGAGACGAAAGATTTGTCTAGGAACATAAAATTAGTTAAATGGATCTGATCATTATTTTCTTGTTTTTATTTAGCATATACATAGAATATTATAATTACAAGGGAATTTTACAATCCTTTTTAAATAGCTGACATCGTTAAAGTGGAACACAGCCCAGTTCTTCACT